ATTCCACTACAAAGGTATTATAATGGTGGGATTTAAAATTTTGAAATGGTGCCAAAAAACTTTTTAATGATTTCTAATCTAAAATCACATAAAATACCAATAAATCAATTAAAATTTAAAACATTTAAAACATTTAAACATAAATTTAAAACATTTTAGGAGAAATGAATAAAAAGAAGGAAATGAAGCAGGATGTGGTGGTGTCCCAGGATCAGGAAGAGAGCATGTGTCTTCAAAGGGGTGAAGGAGAGGCTCTTACCCATATTTTTAGCATGTTCTCTTTCTCCTTTGTTACCACTTCTTCCTAAGCATKTCCTCTCATCTAGATGGATACAGACCTGGATCTTGCCTGACACATCTTTGAGTATTCCTGSTTCTGAACAGAGTAACTTAGAAATCTACTTACTACATACAGCCAACCTTTACTCAGCTTCCCAAAGAAATAATAAACAAATGAACTGTATTTAATATTTACAGAACCTTCCCACATGCTTTGTTCCTTTAAAAACCTCTACATATTCAAGTTCATTTTTYATTGCATCATAATGTATCTGCAAAGTGCCTACTGTATACCAGGGATGTTTTTTTGTGCCAGTCATGGATTTGGCATACCATTTATTTGACTTCTAACTCAAAAGGYCTTTTTATTCTGCCTCGCAAACCAGCTGTCATAGTCTGCCAAAATTGCTACTCTTCCCTCTGGTATTTATGATAAAAAGTGTTATAACTAGGCATCATGAGGCCATCTGTACAATGTTGGATAGTGACACATTGTCTTCATCCAAACTTTTAAGAGGCTGAATTTTGCAGGACAGGTATTAATGCCACCAAATTCATCTTCCACGTTAACAATATCGCCCATAATTGCTATTATATCWGCATACTTGCATGAAAGAGGAAGTGGTACATTGTTTTGGACAACTGCCCATGACAACAAAATTATAATACTGCCAWCATAAAATAAATTACCTTTCCTCTGTTTTAAATTTCTTACTTGATTTGCTTGGACAGACAAGTCCTGTGCAGAAGTGGATATGGTGGTCAGGCTGGTAGATTTATTTCACAGAACTGTGATGATCTCTTGGGTTTCAGGCTCGATGCTAACACTTTAATTCAATGGACTGATTTCCAACCATGGTGGTACATCAGAATCACAGGTAGAACAAGCTTAGGAGGAACTGAATCATTTGACTTAAAAACATTACTTATTTCTTGCTTTAACTGCATATACTAAAGTGACCCACTGTTAATTTTGCAATATTTCCTTGAAAGAACACTACTGATTCAAGACTTTGTCTAGCATATTACTCCAACTCAAATTGTTCTAGCTTGTGAAGCATTTAAAGTCAGAGGATCTAACTTCAAGGCACTACATAGTCTGGGCAGATCATAAATTTAAGTGAGATTGACCTGTGATTTGCTTCATGCATGATGCTTTATATTTTATTTCATCAGCACAAATACATGATACTTTTCCATTAAACATGAAAGATTATGCTTTTAATGCATAAAACATAGTTTATTTTTCCTTCTGTATATTTTTCCTACAAGCTTTCTTTAAACCCAAAGSTTCTTAATCCACTTCTAAGTCTTGCATTAGTGATAGAGATATTAACAAACACAACAAAGTAACTTCAGGAAGGGCCACCAATGGGGATTGAATTCTGGCTTGTGAGCTGGAGGAAAGAGGTCTAGGGCTGCTGAGAATTAGGAAGTAAATATTCCAAGTGAACAGAGCAACTTGTTCCCATTTCAAAAAGAGAGCCTTCTTTCACCAGATGTTCAGATTTTTTTCTTTAAGAAATCAGAATTCCATATTTTTTGTGAATTCTTTTGATTTTTAAATGCTGACAACTAATTTGGAGTCTAATATAAAACTCATGGGACCTACCTATGAAATGAACAAGACTKAGTGGGCTGGATTTGCTAGAGGACCTGAGAGCTTGTGGTCTATTATTGCACACCCCCCACATCAAAGAGAAGAGGGTTGGATATGTACAGGGAAGAAGAGGGCACCATGTTCACCTGGGAAGGTGGCCAGAATGTTGCACCRTGGTAGATATGTTTGCAGACTTTGTTATTTGACTAATGCTGGGCTTGCTCCCATGAAACAAAAAAAGTTTCCTTTTCCTAGTTATGGTAGGATAGCTATTCTAAAAAGTTCTTTAGAAAATGGGGATTTGAGAAAAGAGTGGTCTTCACAATATTGCATGGGCTAGGACTTTTACTTCAGTAACCAGGAGTCCACGGGAAGAAATTTAGACTTTTCCAAAGTCACTGTGGGCTGTGTGCAGGGAATTTGCCATTCCTTTGACTTATTCAAATCCTGTGTAGTGATGCTTCTTTAAAAATTTCCAATCAAATATAAAGAAACATTGATGAGTTCAGCATCTATCACATAATTTTATAGTATTTTTATTTGAATGGATTTGAAATTAAATGACTTCAGCCCTGACCCTTATCTCTGCATATTTGACCTTTGATTTATCACATCAGTGCATTTGTTTTGAATTGTGAAGAAACCTAGAGTTATATTAAAAAAAGCATTTTAAATCTATCAGATAATTTTTTACTTTGTTTTGCATTTTGATTTGGAATTAGAGGGACTCAAAGACAAATAACAAAAAGAACAGCCAAACATACAGCAAGACAATCACTAAAACTGAAGGTGGATCCTTGGAGAAAGATGAAATGTATCCTGGGAGACCTGGGGACCCCATATAGGTCCCTGATAGTGCAGAGAGATCATCTGAGCACATGTTTAGATATCTTGGGCTGGGTGCCTGGGATAGACACAGAGACAGATGCAACTTAATGAATCTTAAACCCAGGGGCCCTTCTCTTGCTAGTTCCAAAGTGCTATTGGCACTCTTCCAGGGATCCTGGGAGGAACTTGTCATTCCAGCAGCTATACTACTATAGCCTGAGAAATGCTGGTGGTAGTCTTAGGGTTGCTGTGGAACCAGACACTGCCTGCACTACTATTAAACACCTCCAGCCCCAGTGTCAAACTGAATTTTAGGAAGCTTTGATYTAGAAATATTGTACAAGACACCGTTCTTCTATCTGCCAGGAGGCCTTGTCAACCTAAATGACACAGAGAGATTCTACAATGTATAATGAATGCTATTTATTTTGTAATAGCAGAGAAGTAAACTATGTGCATATTCAAAGAAGTTGAGGCCAGGAGAAGTTCCTAAAGGCAAAAATGGGAAAATTTACATAAGTTACTTGAATGCAAAGTTTATTTGTTTTGGAGACTCGAGAAGGCAGGAGTTGATGTCAGCTCCTAGGTGGAGGTGCTATTGCTGGGCAGTTGYTCTCTCCAAAGCACCCTGGCTGAATTGTTGCAGTCTTAAAAAGTGTTGAGCATAAATTTGGTTACAGAAATCTGTGCATATATGCATGTGGGAGGCATGCCAAGGACAAGGTGCTTCTAGAAGGAGAAAGAATCTTTCATGGGGAGTGTAGAAAGTCTCTGAAATGGTATTTATCTCAGACAGGCAAGCATGAACCAGCTTCTGGTTCTAATTTTGCTGGGTTGGACAAGGATGATTTTCATAGACCCTACAATCCATGGTTACAGGCATTTACTGCAGATTCTCACACAAACAGCCTCATGGTTTYAGGATTGGGTGGAAAGGTAAATGAGTGACACATGGCTGAGATGTCTATTATGTTAGGCTTGAAGCACTGACTGAGAAGAAATGACAGATGATGTTACAGATGTGACATTCCAGATAACAAATGGAATGTTGAAAGCTTTTCTGTGTCATCAAAAATAATTTAAATAATTTTTGATATAGAATTTCCATAGGAAAAATTAAGTTATATTTCTACCCTTTCTCCAGAAGACAATACTGACAAAATCATGGTCATGTACAATGGCTATCAAAGACTATGCAGCTGTGAGATTTAGGGAAAACATTGTAGATGATGATAAGGATGATGGTATTGTTGTGACTTGTATTTATATGATTCTTGTATAACTGCTGTTATATAACAATATTATTTTTATATAACTAATGTAATAAGCACAATGTTATATKCTTTTCTTAATGAGGACACCCAGAATTATACTCTCCAAGACCTGAAAACTCTGGTCCACCTCTTCTAATAAGCTGGGATAGAATCATGTACCACAAGTAGGAAGAAAAAACAAATTAGAAGTAGGCATGACCATGGAAATGCTCAAAGGCATTCCAAATTTTAAAACGAAGTTTAGAGATATGGGAGGTGGGCAGGGTGGGGGGGATGGTCCCAGTAGAATTCACAATTAAAGTGTCTTATAGGAAAGCTTGAATTTAAGTTTCTTTTTAAACAATATTGATGTGATTGAATCATGACGGGAGTAGAAGAAAATCCTAACAGCCCTGTTCCTCTTTGCTGCCACTGTCACTTTTCCAATCAATCTCAGTTGTGTCTGGTACAACTTTTCCTCATACGGGTTGATTATGGTCTCTTCTTGTTTTTATCTTGATTTTAYTTCTCAAAGCACTAAATGTTTTCTTGTTCAGAAAACACTCATCCACTCATCATCATCTCTCAATTCCTTTGACTTAATTGTATATGGCTCCGGTGGACTGAACATAGTAAACACTGATAATTACTTACTTACATGGTAATTACATTAATAATTGCTAATAACTACAGTCTCCACCCTAGGAAGAAAGAATTCTCCCACCAAAATAGGAGGAGTTGTATAAGTCAGGGTCAGAGAAAATAAGAGGGGCTTTCCTGGCCAGGATAAAGTAGGCATTAATTAAACACAAGTCATAGCATTTGTTATACAAATGTCCTTCATTGACTCAGAACCGTAAAACCAAAAGGAGTTCACTCATAAAGTAAGATGAAGGGATTTCGTTAACTGCAGTTATGGAGAAGATTACTGAGTTACWTGTATTCAAATGGGGGATTCCAAATATGGAAAAGATGACACTGTAAGGTCCCACACCCATCACCAAGAGTATATAAATATTCCAGTTCAGGAGTGATATTCACATTCAGAATCTTCTCGGTTACACTCAGCTGAACTCACACCCACACTCAACATGCCCTACAACTGCTGCTCTGGAAACTTCTCCTCCCGCTCCTTTGGGGGCTACCTGCCCTACTCAGGCTTCTCCTGTGGCTCCTCCTACAACAGAAACCTGATCTACAGCCAGAACCTCTGCTCTCCCAGCACCTGCCAGCTGGGCTCCTCTCACTACAGGGGCTGTCAGAAGACCTTCCACAGGCCCACCAGATGTCAGACGTCCAGTGTGGTGTCCAGGCCCTGCCAGCCTTCCTGCTACCGCCCAAGCACCTCCACATTCTGCAGTCCCTGCAAGACAAYTTATGCTAGATCTGTGAGATCTGTGTCTAGTAGCTGTTGCTCTCAGGGCTATGGCTCAAGATGCTGTGGATCTAGYGGCTTTAGACACCTGAATTACAGAGTTGGTGGCTTCTCTTCCCTGGGCTATGGATCCGGGCTGTGCCGTCCATCCTATTTGGCTTCCAGGCCCTGCCAGCCTTCCTGCTACCGCCCAAGGACCTCCACATTCTGCAGTCCCTGCAAGACAATTTATGCTAGATCTGTGAGATCTGTGTCTAGTAGCTGTTGCTCTCAGGGCTATGGCTCAAGATGCTGTGGATCTAGTGGCTTTAGACACCTGAATTACAGAGTTGGTGGCTTCTCTTCYCTGGGCTATGGATCCGGGCTGTGCCGTCCATCCTATTTGGCTTCCAGACCCTGCCAGCCTTCTTGCTACAGACCAACCTGTACATCTGGATGTGGGTTCTACTGAWCATCTTAWWAYGTTTCTAATTTTTTGACAAATGTCATCAGTGCGTCCTCTTCCAATCTTTATCACCTTCATTATGTACAAGAGAATTGCCTTCTTGTTCTCAGATTGCTGATTTCTCACCTTGTCTGGGACTCGCAAACAGCTGATAGACTCCTTCTGAAAAACTCTGTAATTAGTATAGTAACTCAAAATAAAGTCTAAAGCCTGCATTAGAGATGGGATTTATAGTATTGGATTTCTTTCAAAATTTTATGAAAATTCAAGCTTTAATAAATGCATTGATTCTAATATTGAGCTATGTTTGCTTTTGTAAGTTGTTTACTAACTTAGGTATTGGTTGCACAGTATTAAGGGGATCATTAGTATGTAATCAATAGGCATATAAAAATAATTAAAAATTGATTAATGTGGAGATTTGAATAAATTTGGGAGGCCTCAGATTTTTTTTAATGTAAACTACAGGAAGTATWAATACATCTTGAATATATAGTGCTTTATTAATTAATGTCATAATAAAGAATTAGACTGATCCCTTCCTAAAATGTAAATCCTGAGGTYTTTGTTAAACAAAGACAAACTATTTGACAGTTCCATAAGGAATGCAGAGACTTAAAAAAAGGAATATTTAGATCCATATGATTATGAAGGAAAAATAAACTGGGGAAAATGGAAGATGATAATATTTGAATTTTATATAGTTTTCCATATAACCATCTGATATTTACTTGTAAATGTTGCAAAATACTTTCATCTTACTGAGGAATATCCAAATTATAATTCAGTTACCTAAGTATACATAATAAGAAAAGCCATGAAACTTTAGTGAAGGATCAAGATCATAGAGTTTAGATTTCACCTTGGATTTTTTTATAAATTTAATTTTAATAGAKGTATAATAACTTTACATATTTATGAGTGTCATAGTCAGTTTCCATTATTGTGATTATGCTATTAAATTAAGCAATTAAGCAAGAAAATCAATTTAGAGGATGAAGTATTTATTTTGGTTCATGGTTTAGGAGGTTTAAGTCCATGGTCATTGCACCCTAAGGCTATAGGCCTGTGGTAAGGTAGGGTATCATGGCAGAAGTGGGTGATGGAGCAAAAATGCTCACCTYGTGGTAACCAGGAATCTGAGAGAGAAGAAGAAAGAGAGGTACCAGTGAAATAACACACCTTCAAATGTGAGGCCCTACTGTGCCTCTTTTTTTCTGCTAGGCCACACCTATTAAGTTTCCACCACCTTCCCATAGTGTTACCAGCTGGGGACCAAATATTTAACACACGAATTTTGAGGGGACTTTCTGGATYTGAACTATAACATTCTGCTCCTGGTCCACAAAAGTTCATGTCCAATAGTCTCAAAAGTTTCAAGTCCTCCTAGACTCAAGGCAACTATTAGCTGTGAGCCCCTGTTAAAGAAAAAAAAAAGGAAAAACTCCATATGGTGGGAGAGGCACAGGGTAAGCATTCCCATTCCAAAAGGGAGGAATGAAGGCAAGGAAAGGAGGGATGGGACCAAACCAAGATTGATACTCAGTGACTCAAACATTAAATCCTTAAGTATATGCTGAGGAAACATCCCCCTAGGCGACCTTGTGGGATCAGGGTAGTGCTTTCACACCCTGGAAMCTGAGGCAGGTGGGGCTGGCCAATTCCTGAGATGTTCTTGAGTTATCCCTCCTATTGTCTCCATCCACAGTAGTTGGCTGCTTTTGAATGGAGTGAATCTGTTCAGCAACCATATTCTTCTAGGCTCTTATTTTACACTTACTTCTTTTCTGACAAACTGCCAGTTTTTCACATCTCTGTGCTCTGCTCTTTGCTCTTGATTCTCACAGTAAAACTGGCTAACAGCAATTAGAATTACCCATGCCACTGCCTAGATGCTTTCCTGCCTTCAGTTTTCTCTATCAGATTAATTAGTCCATCACCTTTAAACTCACCATCACATGAAGTCTCAGGAGATGGACATGTGGACAAATTTTTAACCAGAATATAACAATAATGGTYCCCCAGTCCAATTCTCAAGAGTGTACTCATTTCCATCTGAAACTCCATGAGCACAGTCTTTGCTGTTTGCATTCTTATCAGGATTCTGATCCTTTTAATTCATACAATAATTGCCCATTATGCCCTTATTATATAGCATTCTAGGGCTCTTCTAGTCCACATATTCAAAATTCCCCAGTTCCTTCATAAACCGATCCAAAGGATTCTGAACCATATTGTGGAGTATAGTCACAGGCAGGAGCCCACATCAAAATACCAATTTTTTGTTAGTTAGCTTTCTACTTCTACAACACTGCATGAAAAAAATGAACTTACAGGAAGAAGGATTTATTCTCKCTTATGGTATCAATCATGGTTGCTTGGTCCCATTATATGTGCCTGTGTTGAAGCAGTAAGTACATCATGACAGAAAGATATGGTGAGACAAAGTTACTCAACTCTTAGATGCTAGAAAGCATTGGGAATGGGGGAGAAAAGGCAAATRTGCATTCTCAAATACATTCCCCAGTGACCCACATCCTCCCACAAGTCACCTTCTAATGATTCTACCACTTCCCAACAGTCTCACCATCTACAAAACCTTTAACATATAAGCCTTTMTGGGACATTTCAAATCCAAGTGTAACAATGTGGCACAATGTGATGTTTTGATCTATGCATACTTTGTATAAAGATTCATTGAAGCTAATTAACAAATCCATCATCTCATCAAATAAGACAACTTTCAAAGAGAAGGATACTCAGCATCACTAGTCATCAGAGAAATGGAAATCAAAAGCACCATGAGATATCTTCTTAACCTGGTAAGACATGCAATTAACAAAAAGTCTAACAGTAACATGCACTGGCGAGGATGTGGAGAAAAGAGAAACATTGCRCACTATACTTGAGAATGTAAATTATMACAGAGATTAAGAAAACAGCATGAAAGTTCTTCAAAACTACACCTACCCTGTGATAAAGCAATTCCTACTATGGTATGTATCCAAAGAAAATTCAATCAAAGTGTTGCTGAGACATCCACATCCCCCTGTTTATTTTAGCACCATTCTCAATAGCCAAGAAAGTGAAACAACCTAARTGTCCWTCAACTGATGAATGGATATAGAAAATGTGACACATATGCACAATGGAAAACTACTTAGCCATTAAAAGAATAAAATCTTGTCATTGAGACAATATGATGGATTGTAGATCATTATGCTAAATAAAATCAGCCAGACACAGAAAGGCAAGCACTACGTGATCTCACTCATGTGTACTTAGAATATAGATATTCTTATAGAAGTTAAGAATTGTTTAGTTTGAATCTGGAATGTTTTCCCAAAGGATTATTGTTTAGTTCTTGGTCCTTCATTGCAGCAATGTTCAAAGGTAAAGTTTTTGGAAAGTGATGGATCATGAAGATGTTAATAAGACCATAACTAAATGTACTGTTGGAAGGTTGTGGACACTGCAAGAGGTGCGACCCAGTTGAAGGGAGTAGGTATTGGAGTTTGCAGTTGGAGAGTAGAGTTTGTTCCTGGGTCCTTTCTCTCTCTTCTTCCTAGCCATGGCAAGATGATCAGCTTTCCTTTTCCATGCCCTTTCACCATACTGCTTCATCACAGGACCAGACGTTATGAAGTTGGTTGACAATGGACTGAAAACTCTGGAACCATGAGCAAAATAAAATATTTCATTTTTTAAGGTTTTTTTCAGGTATTTTTGCTATTATAAAGAAAAGTAAATTTTATAAGAGTAGAATGGTGGTTTCCAGAGACTGKCAAGGGTGGTTATGATGGGGAAGGTTGATTGTTATAGTTTGGATATAGAAGAGTCCCTAAAAGACTCATGTATCAAAATCATGTGCCCTCTGCCACAAGCTTCAGAGGTGAGGCTTTTAGGTATCAGTGGGTTAAKCACTGGACTACTAAGAGGTAGGATCTAGTTAGAGAAAGTAGGTCACTGGGAATGCATCCTGAAAGGGTCTGCCTCCACTTTCTCTGTCTGTCTTCCTGGTTGCCATGAGCTGAGAAGCTTTCCTGTGCCATGCCCTTCAAACACACTGTGGAATTGGTCGAACAGGGGCTCAGATGTCTGAAACTGTGAACCACAACAATTCTTCCCTCATCTAAGCTGTCCTAGTCATATTGATGAAAAGAAGATTAACACATCGATTGATGGGTATTGATTTAGAGTTAATGTGTGTTATTGCACAGTAGGGTGATGATAGATAATGGCAATGAATTCTACATTTCAACAAGCTAGAAGAAAATATTTTGAATGTTTACCATAAAGTAATGATAAATGTTTGAGAGATATTTAAATGAAGGAAACACCRTTATCTGAAAAATTATGGATGGAACTGGAGGGAGGACATCATGCTTAATAAAAATATCCAGGCATTGAAAGAAATACTGCATGAAATCTCCATACTTCTTTCCATATTGGCTGCACTAATCTGTAGTCTCACCAGCAATGTAAATCTTTTCTCCTACATCATCKTCAACACTTATTGTTGTTTATGTTCATAACAGCTGCCATTCTGACTGGAGTAGGTGAAATCTTAGAGTAGTTTTGATTTGCATTTCTCTAATTGCTAGAGATGATGAACATTTTTTCATAAATTTTGACTGATTTTATATCCTCTTCTGAGAAGTGTCTGTTCAGGTCCTTTGTCAATTTATTGATTGAGTTATTTGGTTTTTTGTTATTTAGCATTTTGAGTTCTTTATATAACCCTGGAGATTTGTGCTTTATCTGATGTGTGAGGGGTAAATATTTTCTCCCAAGATGTAGATTCTCTARTCACTTCACAGATTGTTTCTTTTGCTGAGAAGAAACTTCTTAGTTTGAATCCATCCTATTTATTGATTCTTGATTTTAATTCTTGTACATAGGAGTCTTATTAAGAAAGTTGGGGCCTAATCTGACATGATGAAGATTAGATCCTACTTTTTCTTCTATTAGACATAGTATAGGAATGGAACCACCATTTGACCCAG